CCAATACCGAGCTCGAGCCGGTATCGAGCTCGGAGACAGGAGCCGTTGTAATCGCACTAGGGGAGAGAATCTTGGCAGGAATCGAGAAAGAGATAATTAATCATGGGTTCTCCACTATATATTTTTTATTATAAATAAAGTAAGATCCATCTACTATAAAGGGGGGAATCACTGTAAGCACGGGGGGGTGGATAGATTGTAACAAAATATTTTCTTCTCATATTGAAAGATATCCCCTTGTGTTTATTTCCCTTTATCTATTCGTTCTTATCACTATTTTCATTATCATAGTCAAGAATACACGTATTTCTATTTCTCTATACGATTTGTATCAAATTATATCACATATCCTTAGAACCATACACAAATATAACTCTATCCAATTTTCAGGGTAAACAAAAGTTCAATGAAGAAGATGAATATTTTAAGGTCTCCGACAAAGATAACTCAAGTTCGGAGTTTACAAGAATGAGATACATAACACGTGGCTAAATCTTGAATGTTGTTGATTTAATTGATGGATCAATTCTGAGCCGTCCGATCAAACAAGTGTAGCTGATATTCACATGCTTCATACGTGTGATATATCATTGTAGAAGAATCTTTTTCTGTTTTGTAGGTTATTACTTAGCCAATAGAATTAGAGCAAGTGTATAGGATTTTATCATTTTTCTCTTATAGTTTATTTACATCAGATTTTAGAGATTCAGTGATATATACTTGTATATATACAGTGTCTTGCGAAGAAAGTAATACACAGAAAATTTTCTACAATTCTCCTATTCTATTACTTTCATAGTATCAGAGCAGTAGCTCAATTCTGGAGAATTCAGTCTTCCTTTCTTGAATTTCTATCACTAATCCATCTGTTTCACCATCCTGATACTGCTGAAACCTCAATAGTTCCAGCTACTGCTGGAAATGGTGTCAATCTTGACCCAAATCACCCCTACTTCCTTCATTCCTCAGATGCACCTGGAATGAGTCTAGTGAATGCAGTCTTCGATGGCAGAGGTTTCCAAGGCTGGAGGAGATCTGTGTTAATAGCTCTCTCAGTAAAGAATAAGCTGGGATTCATCAATAGAAGTTGCCCAGCACCTGCTGCAACCTCAAAGGATCATCAACCATGGAGTAGGTGTAATGATATGGTCACCTCATGGTTACCGAACTCACTGTCCAAAGACATTGGAGACAATATCATTTATTCCAAATCTGCAATGGATCTGTGGACTAGTCTTGAACACAAATTTGGGCAGTCCAATAGTGCAAAATTATATCACCTACAGAAGGAATTACATGGGTTATCACAGGGAACAAATGTCATAGCAACTTATTTCACCAAACTCAAAAGCCTATGGGATGAACTGGACTCATTGAAGTCAAACATGAAATGTAATTGCACTTGTGTGTGTGATGGAAAGCAATTATTGGAAAAATCACAAGAGGATGAAAGGTTGATTCATTTCCTCATGGGCTTGAATGAAGCCTATGGTCAACCTATAGGAAGCATCTTAATGATGAATCCTCTACCAAATATCAATCATGTCTATTCATTCATTCTTCAAGATGAAAATCAGAGAGAGAGATATGTTAATCCTCTAATATCTTCTGATTCTTCAGATTTCATGGTAGGAAACCAAGGGAGTTTTCCAAATCAAAATAGTTTTCCACAGAGGAATGGAAAGCAAAAACTCACACACGGTTTCAAAATAACCAAAATGGTTTTTAGAGATCTGGGAATCAAAATCCAAAACAACCTACTGCTAAGGCAAAGAAATCAAAGTTTAATCCCAATGTGTCCTGCACCTACTGCAAGAAAATAGGGCATTCAGTAGCAGATTGCTACAAAATTATAGGTTTTCCTGAAAATTTTGAGTTCACAAATGGGAAGACATGTCAAGGATCCATCAGGAGTAATGAGTCTTTTTCAGAGGAACAGGAATGAGATGCCAACAGCAATTACAATAATGCATTGAAACAACATTTGTCTAAGGACCAGTTCTCTCAACTAATGCATTTAATCAAGCAGGTCAAAGTTTCAGATTCAGGGAGTTCAAATTCAGAAGTAAATGCTAATGCAGTTGCTGGTACAATTGTGAAATACTCCGGATCTTGTTTCTCAGTTTTTAATTCCAGCACTTGGATAATAGATTCAGGGGCCTCTGAACATATGTATTTTGATTCAAATGCTTTTATTTCACTTACCCCTCTCCATGTGTCTCTACACATTAACCTTCATGATTTCTCTAGGATAACAGTCACTCAAATAGGAAAGATATCCATTCTTCTTAACTATGTTCTGGAGAAAGTTCTTTATGTACCTACTTTCAGATACAATTTGTTATCTGTTAATAGGTTTTGTTCACAGTTTCTTTGCATTATCTCATTCTTTCTAATCAATGTCTATTGCAGGCCTCTTTAACGAAGAGTTCTCAAGTTTTTGGTGAAGCGAGAAATGGATTATATCTATTGGAACCCACTGCTATCAACTCTAGGAATAGTACTCAAGAAAATATAGTTTCATCTCTTAAGCTTAGTGATTCTGTTAAGATTTCAGTACCTTTTCCTTTTTCTGCAAATGTTATCTCTCATGTAAACCTTTGGCACATTAGATTGGGGTATCTGCCTTTTTCATCAATGAAACACTTCAGTTTTATCTCTTTTCCTTCTAATTTTACATGTTTTTTTTATGTTTGTCCTAAAGCTAGACAAACTAGATCCCTGTTTCCTTTAGGTCAAATCAAAACAAAAAGAGCATTTGAATTAATACATGTTGATGTTTGGGGCCCCTACAAGGTCCCTACTTATAATGGATATAAGTATTTTTTAACTATTATGGATGATTATAGCAGAGGAACTTGGACATTTCTGTCAAGCACAAAGAGCAATGCATTTGGGGTTTTGAAAAACTTCTTAGTCATGATTGAAAGGCAGTTTGGAGTCAAAATACAAAAGCTAAGAACAGACAATGCATTTGAGCTTGGAAGAGGCAGTCAAGAATCTGCCTTCCTTTCCTCACAAGGGATTCTTCATCAAATAAGTTGTGTGAAAACCCCTCAACAAAATGGAGTAGTTGAAAGAAAACACGGGCATCTTTTGGAAATTGCAAGAGCTCTATTATTTCAATCATATGTTCCTATTGCCTATTGGGGAGAATGTTTACTAACAGCTACTTATTTGATTAACAAGTTACCCCCCAAAGTTCTCAAAGGAAAGACACCTTTTTCTATGTTGTTTAACCAACCTACATCCTATAATCAACTCAAGAGTTTTGGTTGTCTATGTTATGTGTCTACCTTGTCTAATGGCAGAAGTAAATTTGACCCAAAAGCAAAAGCTTGTGTGTTTTTGGGTTATCCTCTAGGACAAAAGGGATACAAACTGTTGGAATTAGACACTAAGAAGGTTGTAGTATCTAAATATGTTCATTTCTTTGAGGATAAGTATCCTTTTGCTTCTAATCCTACTTCCTCCTCTTCAGATTCTACATTCCCCATCACTTCTCCAACAGATACTACTTACCCCATATCTCCACCAATTTCCCTTTCACTAAATACAGACTCACTTGACTCTCCAATTCCTACTAGTGATCACTCACCCCATAACTTCAGTTCACCTAGTTCTAGTAGCAGTAGACAGAGTTTCCCTTCTTCTCCAATCCCAGCTAGTTTCCATTCACCTCATATTGGACATTCATCTAGAAACAGTCCCACATCTAGCCCCCATTCACCTAGGAGAAATTCTCATGATCATATTTTGAAACCACCTGTACCTAGGAGATTTGGTAGAGAAACTCAATGGCCAAGCCATTTCAAGGATTACATTTGTAATAAATTTTTTCTCACTCAGTTTACTGATTTTTGTCTAGCACAACCTGCTAAGCCTAATGTTTACTCTTTTGGAGCCTTATCAGCACATAATCAACACATCATGCAGTCCATTTCAGAAGTACAAGAGCCTGTTAGTTATTCTCAAGCCTCTATGCATCCTGGTTGGCAACAGGCCATGGATTCAGAAATTGCAGCTCTACAAGAGAATCATAATTGGGATGTGGTGTTATTACCTAAAGGGAAGAAGGCATTGCCTTGCAAATGGGTTTAAAAAGTCAAGCACAAGTCAGATGGCTCAATAGAGAGACTCAATGCCAGATTAGTAGTTAGGGGGGACATTCAAAGGGAAAGAATAGATTATACAGATACATTTTCACCAGTGGTCAAAATGACCACTATCAGATGTTTAATGGGAATAGCAGCAAAGAAGGACTGGCCAATCTATCAATTAGATGTGAGCAATGCTTTTCTACATGGAGACTTACAAGAGGAAGTATACATGAAATTTCCATCTGGAATGTCTTCCCCAAGTCCTAACCATGTTTGTCTACTCAGAAAGTCTCTTTATGGGTTAAAACAAGCTCACGGCAGGGGTATGCTCGGCTTGCATGTGCATTAAGTTTCAAAGGTTACTCCTCCTCTATGAATGACTACTCTTTATTTTTTAAAGGTACTGGGAATCTAACCTCTATTGTCGCAGTGTATGTAGACGACATTCTCATTAGTGGTAATGATTCTCAAGAAACTTCAGCACTTAATTTTTTCCTTAGTATAGAATTCAAAGTCAAAGATTTGGGAAATCTGCATTATTTCCTAGGAATGGAAATTCTCAGGGAAGCACAAGGGATCATTGTATGTCAAAGGAAATTTACCTTGGATTTATTGCGTGAAATTGATGCTTCCAATTCATCTTGTGTTTCCTCCACTCTGGAGCCATCTTCAAAGCTTAGTACTGATGAAGGACCTTTCATCTTCAATCCCACTGTGTACCGGCATCTCGTTGCGAAGCTGAATTACTTGACTCACACAAGGCCCGACCTGTCCTTTGTTATCCTTAAGCTCAGCCAATATATGCAAAGTCCCCGACTTTCTCATTATATGGCAGTTATTCGAGTTCTGAGGTACCTCGGTTCAGATCCAGGACAAGGGATCATTTTGAACTCAGATCCCTCTCTAAAGCTTGTTGCTTTTTGCGATGCCTACTGGGCTTCTTGACCTGAATTCCGGTGCTCTGTCAGTGGCTTCTATATTGCTCTAGGGAGATCACCCATCTCCTGGAAATCTAAAAAACAAGCCTCAATTTCTTTGTCCTCCGCTGAAGCAGAATATCGATCCATGCGTAGAGTTGTTGCTGTGTTGACATGGTTAACTCGATTACATGAAGATTTGTCTGTATCTCCATCTTTACCTGTTCCTGTTCTCTCTGATAGCAAATCGGCGATTCATATTTCCCGAAATCCAGTATTCCACGAAAGGACAAAGCACATGGAATTAGACTGTCATTTTGTCCGGCAACAGTACCTTTCCGGTCTAATTTCACTCTCACACATTCCTTCTTCGTCGCAACTCGCCTATTTTTTCACCAAATCTCTCTCAGGACCAGCTCATATTTCTGCTCTTCGCAAGTTGGGTGTTACTTCCGTCCCCTCCAACTTGAGGGGGGATGTTGAGATAATGAACTCTCATGGTTCATCTCAGAAGAAGAATGAAGAAGAAAGTCATAAGAAGAATGAAGAAGAAAGCTCAATGAAGAAGATGAATATTTTAAGGTCTTCGACAAAGATAACTCAAGTTCGGAGTTTATAAGAATGAGATACATAACACGTGGCTAAATCTTGAACGTTGTTGATTTAATTGATGGATCAAATTCTGAGCCGTCTGATCAAATAAGTGTAGCTGATATTCACATGCTTCATACGTGTGATATATCATTATAGAAGAATCTTTTTCTATTTTGTAGGTTATTACTTAGCCAATAGAATTAGAGCAAGTGTATAGGATTTTATCATTTTTCTTTTATAGTTTATTTACATCATATTTTAGAGATTCAGTGATATATACTTGTATATATACAGAGTCTTGCAAAGAAAGTAATACACAAAATATTTTCTGCAATTCTCCTATTCTATTACCTTCAGACCCTAGTATTTCCAAATACTTAGCTTAAAATTCGAACAATGGCACAAATAATTAAGAACATTATAAATATATTCTACAAGAATAAAAAGCAACAATAAGGATTTAACAGTGGAATAAGGTTGATGAAGTAGTACGTACTCTGCGGCGAAGGTGTTCCTGAGGAATTCCAGAGACCATCCCTACTTCCCCAGGTTTGATTTCGACCAACGCATCGGAGGAAGAAGAGGAAGACGATGACGATGATAACCTCATCGAACAAACCGATGAAGATCGGAGAGGCTGAAACCTAGTGAACGGACGCTGGAGAAATTTCGCCATTGCAGAACCAAATGAGAATCGTGTGGAATTACGCTGTGGTTAATGTCTCTATGAGCGGGAAATTGTTGAAATGTAAAAGTTAGTTTTTGGTAGGTATTATGCTATGCTCCCATAAGAAGGTTCGCGCTCCCTCTTTTGGGCTTCAATTGGGCCTATTTTATATTTTGGGCCAACCAATGTCCATGAGAAATGGGGGATTTACATCTAGAGGAAACTACATAAGCTACCTATTAAAATTAAAGTATTTACCCGTCTTTACCTATTTTTAAACTTATTATAATATATACCTTTCTAACTAAAACTAATTACCAGCCTACCCATCCCCAGTTTTGTTTGACCATCTAATAATCTTTCCTTCCCATTTGAAAGATCCACAATCATGTAAATACCATCATAAACCTCCATCGACGTTGCCAAGAGTATTACACCGTGATAATCTTCTTTTCAACTGATTATTAGTCATTATCACATAAAAATAATGGATGTAATTTCAAATCTAGAAAATTTTTTTGAAACTCCATATGAATGAGTTCAAAATGCCAGATCTGATTTTTTTAATAGTGTTTTACTATTGAAATCTGTTAATTATTGTTCTTTGATGTGTAGATTGTACCTTTGATGCTGGTTTTCGGAGATTTATTGTACAAAAATTTAAATCCACCATTGAAGGACCTTGAAGCTTAAAACTCAAAACTTGATTTGTTTGAGTTTTTAATTGTTTTGATCCGATCCCGTATGGGTTTGTTTGGAAAGTTGATTGGAGGTTATAGCTAAAGTTTTAGTCAATTTGGTGGAGATTTTGTAGTAGATTTTAGAAATTTGGGTTGAAATAGTTGAACTAGAGAAGAAGACGAATTTGTATTGTATACCCAAATAGTATACAAGTATACCATTTTGGTATACAATTCATTCCAACATATACTATTACAGTATACAATATAATATAATAGTATATTGTTATAATTTGGTCCTTTTTAAACTTTTCCATTGGGTCCTTTTTTTTAAATTTTGGGTTGAAATTGAGTTGAACTATCAAAGAAGACAGATTTGTACTGTATACCAAAATGGTATATTATATACTGTATTGATATACAATAATTAATTCAAGAGTATATAATTAACTACAATAATATACTACTAGTTTATTTTTTTGAAGGAATGAACCAATCCTCTATATACCAAAATAACATATTATATACCATTTTGGTTAATTCAATAGTGTATAATTATTGCGTTGAACTAGCGAAAAAGAATTTGTATTGTATACCAAAATGATATACTATATATTATTTTGTTATACAGTTCATTCCAATAATATACTATTATAGTATACTATATAATTTAACGGTATACTCTTACAATTAGGTCTTTTTAAAAAAAAAAATTGAAATTTTTATTAATAACTGATATTATTTCAGTTTAATAATTGAATTAAAAAAATTATTTTTAAACTCTTTGCATACAATTGTATACCCTATTGGTATATCTATATACTATACTGGTATCATATGTTAGTTGGAACATTTTTTGGTTGTATTAGCTATATTTAATTGGTACACTATTTGATTTTTCTTTAGTAATAGTAGAATAGTACAGTATATTGAATTTTTTTAATTTTCCTTTATGCATGTGTATTATGTAATCATTTTGATTTTTTCTTTATGCGTTTGTTTTATATAATAGTATTATAGTACAATATCTTGAAATATATTATTATATTAATATGTGGTACACTATTTTTTAATTTTTCTCTTTATGCATGTGTATTATGTAATGGTAGTATTGCCATATATAGTTGCTTGGAATTAATTAGTAGAATTGTATACCCTATTGGTATAATTATATGTCATATTGGTATCATATGGTAGTTAAAATATATTTTGATTATTTTAGCTACATTTTTAAGTGAATTCTATTCTGAAATAATTTATACGATCATGTTTTGCTGTGTTGGATTTTCTTGTACCTATGGACATAGATTTTGTGTATTATGTAATAGTTTTTATAGTTATATGCAGTTGTTGGAACGACCCCGTACAACTATATACCCTATTAGTATAGCTATATACTATATTGGTATCATATGCTAGCTGAATCATTTTCTGGTTGTATTAGCTGTATTTAATTGGTACACTATTTGATTTTCTTTTAATAATTGTAATATAGTACAATATCTTGAAATACTTTATTATATTAATATGTGGTACACTATTTTTTTATTTTTCTCTTTATGCATGTGTGTTATGTAATAGTAGTATAGTCATATAGTTGGCGGGAATTAACCAGTAAAACTGTATACCATGTTGGTATAGTTATATGCCATATTGGGACCATATGGTAGTTTGAACATTTTTTTGGTTGTTTTAGCTGCATTTTTAAGTGAATTCTATTCTAAAATTATTTATATAAACATGATTTATTGTGCTGGAACTTTTTTGTGCCGATGGACATATATTATGTGTATTAAGCAATAGTTTTTATAGTTATAGGAAATTGTTGGAATGACCCAATACAACTATATACCTTGTTAGTATACGGAATGAGCAAGTTGCTTTGCGAATATTTAGCTTGCAATATGAGCATGTAATTTTCTCATACTTTATTGCATCCTTTAATGTTTTGGTATAGTAGTATAGTCGCAGATAGTTGTAGCAATATTCTAGAGAAATCATATACTCTATTGGTATACATGTATACAATATTGGTATCATATGGTACTAGAAGTCTTTTTTGATACTTATACTTTTATTACATTTTCCAATATTTTATTATCATTTCTATTCTAACTAGTATACATGGAGATTTGGTGGCCGTAGATTATGTTTTCTTGCTCCATAACTGGTTGTGTTACTGATATTTATAGGGAATGAGATCAAGGTTTGCATGGCAATCACGTGTTGATTTGTAGAATCTGATTATGTAATTTATGGTGCTCAACAGCTGTCAGTGTGATATTCAGTGAATTAGATCAAGTGACAACAACAATTATTTCAGTTTAATATTTGAATTAAAAAAATGAGAAAAAAGACAAAATGAGTATTATACTAGTTATATTAAAAAAAAAAAAAAGGTGAACAGATATTTACTATATCAGTTATTTTTTTTTATTGTATAAAAAAGGAAATAATAAAAAATAGTGAAAACAGTAAATGAAATTAGATATGAAGAGAGAAAAAATATATAAAAAAAGAAGTTAAATGAAATTAGAAAAGGAACAAGAACTAAAGAAAATAAAAGAAAAAGGAGTTAAATGAAATTAGAAAAGGAATAAGAAATCAAGAAAATAAAAAAAAATTAAAAAAATAAAGGAGTCAAAATTGAGTGTGAAATAAGTTATGGTAAAAATAACAATAATACGATTTGGGCAAAAAATAAATGAATAGAAAAAGAGAAAAAATAAAGAAATAAGAAGAAAACGAGAAAAAAGAAAAGGAGAAAAGAAAGAAAAAAAGAAAAGAAGCATAGAAATAAAAAAGAATTGGAGAAAAAAGAGAAAATTTCCCACAAAAACTACTATGGGTAGGAAATATAATTAGTTTGATAGGTAAAAAAATAAATGGGTAGGTAAGGGTAAATAGTTTTGTTTTTGTGGGTAACCGTGTCATTCACCCTTGCATCTATACCCAGTTTTTGGGTCACAATTTAACCTATACCCGCTTTGCAAAAAAAATTGCAAACGTACTCACTTTTCGGGTAACTTCAGGCATACGGGTCTGAAGTAGCAAAACTTTATGTCTGAAGTTTGAACTTCAGAATTTTTTGCCTGAAGTGTAGCCTTATCAAAGCAAAACTTTAGATATATTTTCCTGAAGTTTAGCCTGACTTGCAAAGGTAATCATGCAAACTTCAGTTCATATTGCAAGGGAAAACTTTAGTTTCCCCTCACTTCATAGTGCAAACTTCAGACAAATTAGTCTGAAGTTCTTCAATTTGTAGTGCAAACTTCAGGAACTTCAGTTCATAGTGCAAGGGCAAACTTCAGTTTCTCCTCATTTCATAGTGCAAACTTCAGACAAATTAGTCTGAAGTTTTTCAATTTGTAGTGCAAACTTCAGGAACTTCAGTTCATAGTGCAAAGGGCAAACTTCAGACAAATTAGTCTGAAGTTCTTCAATTTGTAGTGCAAACTTCAGGAACTTCAATTCATAGTGCAAGGGCAAACTTCAGTTTCCCCTCACTTCATAGTGCAAACTTCAGACAAATTAGTCTGAAGTTCTTCAATTTGTAGTGCAAACTTCAGGAACTTCAATTCATAGTGCAAGGGCAAACTTCAGTTTCCCCTCACTTCATAGTGCAAACTTCAGACAAATTAGTCTGAAGTTCTTCAATTTGTAGTGCAAACTTCAGGACAAGTTAACTTTTCAGTGTAACTAAGAGCTGGTTTGGCATCACATCGGGCTTTACCTCATGGGAAATTCTTCATGTTCTTCATACTGGATTTGGAACTTCTGTATATTAAGTATGAGATAAACACATAACAAGATGAACTAGAGAGTATCTGTTTCGCTCTCGATGCATTTGAATTTGTATCTCGAGCTTGCAAAATAAAGGATTATAAAATTTGTAGAAGCCCACATTTTACCTTCTGTTGACAGGGTTTCTGAATTCAAATAGAGAACAATAACAATACTCTATTTTGTTATTTTATGACAGTATTTGATCAAATGTACGTTAAGTTGTTAATTTGACTTCACATTTTATTAGTGAATATATTAAAGTAGTGGTTGAAAAGTTAATTTGATAGACAAGAAGGGGAGGAAGAAAGGAGCGCATAGGTCAGGAGGAAGAAGAGGAGGCGTCTGAAGTTGTTAAAATTAGGGTATATGTTAAATAATTTTAAAAATATGGGTATAGGTTAAATCTCATGTAATTTTTACATGAGAAATGTATAAGGGATTTTTTCGTTCATATACAATATTTGAAACTTATTTACCAAAATTATTCTAATTTTGTATATTACCCGCCCTAAATAAGTATTACTTACAAATTATAAACACCCACCTTAAAAGGTTCCCAATCCATTATTAATGTCTTCAATCAAGGGATTTAGTTACATTCTTTTCTTTTTTTTCTCTCCTCTCTTCTCTCTTCTCTCCAGATCGAAAATATGTAGCAATCAAATCCAGTAGCAGCTTTCATCACAAAAATTCAAGGATTACGACACAACAACTGGGTTAGCAACAATTAACTTAAAAGAAGATAGGAATTTTTATCCCAAAAATTTTAAACGGGAAAATTAATTCAATCATTAAAGTCGATTACTTCAATTGTCTCAGCATTGAAAGTCATTTTATTAGTGAAGTCGAGAAAGGAAACTACAATTTGCAAAGTTTCAATTTAAAAATCTCAAGAATATTCAACTTCAACTTTGAAATCTGAAATTTGTTAGTTGTTTTTGAGTGGGTATGGCTGAAATTTATCGAAAATACTTGGACAAAGTTATATACAAAAGTTGAGAAGAATTGAAAGTGATTTGGACTAGTTTGAATCAAAATTCGTAACTGAAATTGGTTGAAAAATGTCTTTACGACACATGTATCTCAAATGTATCTCAATTGATATTCATGTATATCCCATACACGAATATACACATATTATATATTATACAACTTATTTATAACTTGTCTACAACTTTCATACATTATTTCTACCCAATTAAATACAACTACAATATCATACAACTTAAATATAATTTTATACAATATGTATTTTGTATATATTTTGTATCTGATTTGTATATATTTTGTGTGTGGTGTATGCTTCTTCCTCTCTAAAATTCCAATCAAAACTTGATCTCTTAATACAATTTTGATACATATCAACAACTTTATGTAAAAAGACAGTATTGATAACTTAAATACAAATTTTATACAACTATTTTTTAACTTTCATACAACATTCATATATNGAATTGAGATATAAACTCCAAACAATATTCCCAATTGTTTGCAACAACACCCATTCCAAACAAATAATGATTTTTGAAAATCCAAATTCGATTTCAAAGCTTCAAGCTTTTTAATGGTTGCCAATGGTGTAAAGTCAAACACCTTCAAAATTTATTGATTGACAATTTCAATTTGAATACCAATTGTGCAACATGAAAGGAAATTGCTAAGTTTAAAATGATTGAAATCCATTAATGAATTCCATTAAAACTCTATACAATAAGAAAACATAAAAAAATAGAAAACGTCAAATGAAGAAAAATTGGAGAAAAAATAGAGAAGGAGAGTAGAGAGAGAGAGAGAGAGAGAGAGCAAGTATAAAGGGATAAGGAAATAACTGATATTTCTTATTTAATTCCTAATATAAAGTGATACTCATTTAAAACTTATTTGTACATAATTGGTAAATTGTATATGACCATGTACTTAAATTGAAACTTGAGTAGAGAGGGTAATAAGGTTTCAAATAGTGTATAGGAAGGTAAAAATCCCCAATGAATATATAATAGTCGAAAAAATATGTACAATCAGACATCTCTATAACAACATCCCTATATAACAATACTTCACTATAAAAGCCAAGCTTTCCCCGGAATCAATCTTCATGTGATGTTATAATATATGTTCTCTATAACAACACTTCGTTATAACATTCAAAAATATTCGGAACAAACGAGGTTGTTATAGAGAGATTTGGTTGTATCATATTTTTAATATACGTATAATATACATATTTTATATTTTTTTTTAGCTTCTGAATGTAATTAGTTTCATCCGACTGATCAATTTTGTATTTCATGTCTATTTACAAGACCCGAACCCAAACATAAGGGAAGAAATTGACCCATGAACCTATTAGGACTTTCCTAAAGAGTTTAACTTATATTTATTTAGAGCATTTACACTATCAAGTTACCTATTTGTAATCTTAACTAAAAAAAAGTTACTTGTCGTGTAATAGGCAAAGGTGACCGAATAATCTATTTTTTTTAAAACCATCAATAGATATCAGTTAAGCTCTTCCAAAAGAAAAAAACTATTAGGAGAACTCGACGACATACAAACTCTAACTAAATTACATCACTAGAGGAGAAGAAATACAAATAATATGCACAAAGTACTATTTAGAAAAACCTTGTATGGTCATCGCCCAATAGGCGCCTTGTTTTTTCTTCTGTCAAATCACTTGATTGTTAATAATAAATACAATATTTGTACTGCACAAGAAAAAGTCAGTCCGGGTGCATTAAACCTTCGTTATGTGAGGGTTCGAGAAAAGACCGGGTTACAAGGTCTATTGTAAGCAGCCTAATACTATATTTTTACAAGGGGTTGTTTCCACTCTAACCCGTGATCTCCTTCTTACAACAACTTTATCTTTACGCTTCATTGTACTGCACAAGCTGACCAAACAAAAAAAAGTTTAATTTGTCATGAAAAGTTTCACTTGCGACAAGAAAGACCAGGATATGATCGAACGGCAAATTCAATTAGGAATGTCCGAATATTGTCGCTATTGTAATATGTATCTTCCTGCTCATTGCCATTTGTTCTTTCGTTCTCTTCGAGACTTGGTCATCGGTATCTTCTCTCTTGTCTTCTTCCTCTTTTGCCATTGTTCCATTCAGTTAAAGCTCCCACAGAAATTGGAATATTAATTACTCTGCACAGCATACATCCCACAAAATAAAAAATCAGCCAACTCAATTGCTGAAACAATGTCAATGGAGGAGCTAAAAGAAGATGATCAAATGCTTGCCAAACTTAAAGAAGCTTGTTCTGATCTCAAGAACCTTCTTCAAATCTCATTCAATGTTGAAACAAGCTTAGCAGAAATGGAAGATAAATTTGATGGTATGCAAGAAAATCTATCCATTGCTTCTAGAAGAATAGCTCCCTTACAATCTCTTTCAATTGCTAACAAAGCCCTTGATACAAGAATCAACAGAGCAATTTCTCCAGCTCTTGCACTTCTTGAAAGTTTCAAACTTTCTGAATCCCTCCAGCGTAGACTTCTTGATCTTGCTACCAAATTATCTAACGAGAAATCGTCGAATAAAAGGCTCAAGAAACTGATCAAGTATGTAGACACAGTGGACAATTTGAATGAGGCTATTAATTCAATAAGCAAAGAGTGTGAACCAGCTATTCAGAAATTGCAAGAAGTGGTGGAGTTTTTAAGTAGGACTAAGGCTACTGATCAGTTCAGGACGCGTCGATTGAGAGAGACTTTGATTACCCTTAAATCCCTTTGTGAAACTGAAGTTGATGCTATGAGATTTGATGGGCTGTTTGATGATGCTTTGTTGAATTTGCAAGATGAATATGAGAGTTTGTTGAATAAGATGAGGCATAGGAATTTTATGGAGGGAAAAGTTGATAGTGATGATCAAGATGATGTTGCTACTGAAATGGTGCCTACAGATTTGGGAAGTGAATTAGAGGTTGAAGTGCTTACTAAAATCTCTGAGACCCTGGCTGCAAATCATTGTCTTGACATATGTATTGATATCTTTGTGAAGGTAAGGGCTGTTTCCTTTATTTTATAGCAGCATTTAGCTTACTGCTTGACAGGTATATGATATCCGTGATTGTCGATCTATATGTTAAATTGCGTGATCACCTCATTTGAAGGCTTAATCTGTTAGATAAAACACACTTTTGTTTATTCAATAATATGTCTTGACTACTTTGAAGGAGAGCCTTGACGTAACTGGTAAATTTGTTGTCATGTGACCAGGGTAAGATTGCGTACAATAGACCCCTGTGGTCCGGTCCTTCCTCAGGTCCGACATAGCGGGAGCTTAGTGCACCGGACTGCCCTTTTTCATGTCTTGACTATTTTAAGTGGCTGTTGTCTAAACATAGGCCTTGCAATCAAATTTATAACTTGTAGTAACATATGTTTATTAGTAGATGACTTTTAGACGGGATTAAGCTTCACTTTTATGTTGATTAGTGACTCCTTGATGGCGAGTTTTGTGCTAAAAGGCGATTATTAAAATCTAACTATCGACTATGTTTTTCCTTGTGCCAATCAACATTTTCAAGTGTTTACTTTGCCTAGAGCAATGGATCTAAAGGAACCTGAACCTCATTTTAGCTTGGCTTATTAGATATCATGTGCAAACAATACATGTTAGCTTGGTTTATCATTGATCACAGTTGTGCTAGCTGGCTTACATTGTTAAACCTGATTCTCGACCAAGTTCTTCTCTTTTGCCAATCAACATTCTCATATCTTAAAACTTTCCTAGAGAAGAGGAGACAAAAGAGTGAGAAAGAAGAAAGAAGGATCGAGTCTTTGCAAATCTGCTGTTTCAGATTATGGAGCTGACTGCTGAGTATCACCTGATTAAATCGTCATTTTACATTGAATAAATTTCATCGCACACAATAGATATTAACTTGGTTTATCATTGATCACTTTCTCTATTCTTCTTTGATCTTTTGTTAAACATGGATTAAGAAAGCGAAAGTTAAATAGGAATATTTCCTGATCCAATGTCTACATTCTCTTAAACTGTTTGATCAAGAATTACTCAACAAAACTATTTGATGATGGTTATTATATGTTCATTCCAACAGCTTTCTAGATATTGCTCAATGACTTAAAGATGTAATGTATATGGCTATTAGCTACTAATAATGATTATGGTATTCTGCTTCATCCCACAGGTAAGGTATAGAAGAGCAGCCAAAGCATTGATGAGACTGAACCCCGAGTACCTAAAAACATATAGTCCAGAAGAAATCGATGAGATGGAATGGGAGAGCCTAGAGACAGCAATATCCCTCTGGATCCAACACTTTGAACTTGCTATCAAGAATGTATTTGTATCAGAAAAGAAACTCTGCTGCCAAGTTTTAGGCACAATAATGGATGGAGTAATATGGCCAGAGTGTTTTGTCAAGATCGCCGACAAGATAATGGCTGTCTTCTTTCGATTCGGGGAAGGGGTTGCACGAAGCAAGAAAGAACCCCAAAAGCTTTTCAAGCTCTTAGATATGTTTGAATCATTGGAAAGGCTAAAACCTGAGTTCTCAAACATTTTCGCCGGTGAAGCTGGTGCTGATATCTGTTCGCGATACAGAGAACTGGAGAAACTGCTTGTACATTCCTCAACCAAAGTCTTCTTTGATCTCGGCCTTCAAATTGAGGCCAATCAAGATGTTCTTCCCCCTCAAGATGGTTCAGTTCCAAAACTTGTTCGTTACGCTATTAACTATCTTAAATACCTTCTAATGGATGCCTATAGCGCGACAATGGTCAGAGTCCTCAGGACTGAACAAATATGGAAAGCTGGAACACTTTCAACACCCGAAACGGATGAAAACTTGCTGAAAGATGCCATGTTCAACATCATGGACGCTATCCGGAGGAATATTGAATCCAAAAAACTGAGGTATAAAGACAAAGTATTGCCTCACGTGTTTGTCATGAATACTTATTGGTACATTTACATGAGGACTAGAAGTACAGAACTCGGGAAGCTCATGGGAGATCAGTATATTAAGAAGACATACAAAATTGTGGCTGAAGAATCAGCTTATTCATATCAAAAACAAGCTTGGGGATCTCTAGTAAGGCTGCTGGACAAAGAGGATATTAAAAGAGTTGACAAAGACGGACTTACAGCTATGGTACGAGGGAAAATGGAGGCGTTTACTAAAGCATTCGATGACATTACTCAAAGGCATAAAAACTTTTATTACATACCTGATTCAGACTTGAGAGAGCAAATGAGAGAGGCTACTGTAAAGCTTGTTGTGCCTGCATATACCGAATTCTTGAACAATTTCGCGTCTTCTTTACATGACAAATCCTATCCTTCGCCCGAGTATATAGAACATTCATTAAATCATATGTTTGAGGTTGCTGATCACAAGACTTCTGGAAAATCGTCGTTGAGATTGCGACAAATGAAAGATCCTTCGGATGGTAGTAATTCATTATCAGGCGAACAATCTCGTAGGAGCAAAGACTTTAGAAGGTCCAAGTCAAGTGTCATTGATGCCTGATAAATTTTTCAAGTAATGTGATGTGAAGGACAACCATTTGTTAGAAGAAATGTGATTGAAATCTTTTTCTGGTAATATTTGTGTTAAGCTATTGTCAAAATTACCACCAAAAAGTTGTGTACAATATCAATATAGGCAACTTGGAGATGAACCCTTAAGTTAGTATGCTCTCCTCTACTAGCTTGTGACGAGGAGGAAAGAAAACTCACGTGTTCTCTATTATTCTATTCTACAAGGAACTAATGAGTTGTGAAATTCCTCTAGTTTTGCTTAAGTAGCAGATGTTTATTTACAAGCATTGTGGTAAGTTATAGAAATAAAAAAGAGCACAAACAAAATGTTTGTAATATTTGTAATATGGCCATTAATTTAGCCTATTTTCAAGTGGGGGTCAAATTTTCATGACATTTGCCATGTCATAATATCCACTGTTAGGCCAAAGATTTCTTGCTATAAATAGAGGAGCTTCTCTTCATTTGAAAACACGCCAATTCAAGAGCTTTTCCTCGTCTTTCTTTCTCCTTCTTTAGTAATTGAGAGTACTTTGCAAGAGAGTTGAGTATTGGGAAACACTTGTGTGATCTCCTTTATTTGGAGTGATCTTGTGAGGTTATTCTCTCGGGAGTATTTGGGATTAATTAGAGTATTTACTCTAATTTTGTACGCTCTTTTGTACTCTTGTTGTTATAGTAAAATTTGCTTCTCTCCGCTTGTAGACGTAGGTCACCTTGACCGAACCACGTTAAATTTGTGTCTTCTTTAATTGGCGTTATTATCAACTTGCATTATCTTTATTATTGTCATTATAACATTGTTTGGCTAAATTCTGCACTATCCGATTTCCCGATCCTAACAAATTGGTATCAGAGCCAGATCTAACCGGTTAGTTTAAATAGCCAAAATGACTCTAACAAAGTCTTATGTTGAGAAATTTGACCGAAATACAAACTTCGGAATGTGACAATTAAAGATGGAAGCTATCCTAATTCAGGGTAGCTTAGATTTGGCACTGCAAGGAAAGGAGAAGAAGCTAAATAAAATGACGGACGAGGAGTTTGCCGTCATAGACAAAAAAACAAAAGCAAGTATTATTTTAAATCTCTCAAATGAGGTTTTGTGTGAAGTTGCAGCAGAAAGCTCAGCCAAAGACATATGGGAAAAGCTGAAAACCCTATATATGAAAAGAACAGTAGAAAATAGGCTTTACCTAAAGTAAAAACTCTACACTTTTCGTATGGCTGAATGTACCTATATACTTATACATCTTGATACTTTTGATTTTCTTCCTATGGATTTAAGTAACATAGATGCTGAAATCAAAGGCGGGGATCAAGCTGTGTTATTGCTTGTTTCCTTACCCCAATCGTTTAAGCATATAAGAGATACTATGCTTTATGGAAAGGATAATATCTCTTATAAAGATATCTATTTTGAAATCAAAAGAACAAATAAATAGAGATATTACTGGAGAAACTAGTGGGAACCAAGGGGAAGGCTTATTCATAAGAGGTAGATCCAATAAGAAAGATTCAAGTAATGAGAGACCTAAATCAAGGTCAAAATCTAGATACATAAATGTCATGTGAAAATATTACCATAAGAAATGTCACATTATTTCTGAATGCTTTAAATTGAAAAACAAAGAAAAGCATACAGAAAAGAAAAATGAGCACAAATATACTGACATTGCCGAAGCAAGTGTAGTTACTGATGAGACCGAGGAAACTATTTTTTTAGCAACTAATAATAGTTTCTAATCTAACAATTAAAAAATTTTAGATTCAGGTTGTTCTTATCATATGTGTCCCAATCGGGATTTATTTACCATATATGAATCTATTGGAGATGGAGTTGTCTTGATAGGCAACAATGATGCCTGCAAAGTTATTAAAAAAGGTACAGTCTGAATCAAAATGCACGATGATGTGGTGAGAACTCTCACCGATATTAGACATGTTCCTGACTTGAAGAAAAATCTTATTTCTTTGGGCACTCTAGAATCTCTTGGGTGCAAGTACACAGGTGAAGGTAGAGTTTTGAAAATTTCTCATGGTGTTCTTGTGATCATGAAAGCACGCAGATCTGGTACGTTGTATACTCTTTTGGGATCTACTATTACAGATGCTGTTGTAGTTTCAATATCAGATAAATCAAATTCTGATATCACCATTTTGTGGCATATGCGATTGGGGCATATGAGTTAAAAATGTCTTTCTATCCTCAGCAAAAGAGGTCTCTTATATGGCCAAAGTACCAAAAATATGGATTTCTATGAACATTGTGTGTTCGAGAAGCAAAAAAAGAGTCAGCTTCAAATCTTCAGCGATTCATAGAACAAAAGGTACTTTGAATTACATTCGCTCAGATCTTTGGGGTCCTTCACGTACCCCATCAAAAGGTGGTGCCAGGTATATGTTAACTTTCATTGGTGATTATTCAAAGAAAGTTTGGGTTTATTTTCTGAAAAATAAAAGTGATGTTTTCTTAAATTTCAAACAATAGAAAGTTTTGATTGAGAAGCAAACATGAAAACAGGTTAAGCGGCTTAGAATAGATAATGACTTGAAATTTTATAATGATGAATTCAACGAATTTGCAAGAATGAAGGAATTGCTCGACATTGTACTGTGAGAATGACACCTCAGCAAAATGGTGTGGCAGAAAGGATGAATAGAACTCTTTTGGAAAGGGCTCGTTGCATGATTTCAAATGATTGGTTGACAAACGTCTTTTGGGCAGAAACTATCTCTACAGCTTGTTATATTGTCAACCGAGCTCCTTCTGCACCTTTGAACTTTAAGACTCCAGAGGAAATGTGGTCTGGTACTCTTGTTAATTATTCTGATTTAAAGTATTTGGTTGCCCTGCATACATGCATGTAAATGATGGAAAATTAGAGCCAAGGGCTAAAAAGTGCATTTTCCTTGGGTATGCATATGGGGTGAAAGGATACCGACTATGGTATCCTGATCCCACGACACCAAAATTTATAATTAGCAAAGATATAACATTTGATGAATCCTCTATGTTACATTCTAGAAAAGAGTCTTCTAGTTCTTGTAATACATATAAAGTAAAGAGTACACATAATCAGGTGGAGGTTGAGATTGGCATTCCTTCTGAGCCAAGCTCATCAACTTTGAAGAAAAATACAGTTGAGACTCCTAAAGTTGAGTCAGAAGCTGAAATTCCTGAAGCTGAGACTCCTGAAGTTGAACCAGAAGAAGAGGAGTATTCTATAGCCAAACATAGACCAAGAAGAGAAAGTAAACAACCATTAAGGTTTGAATATTATGTTGCATTTGCTTTTTCAGTTGCACAGGAAACTGAAAAAAATTGAAGAACCATCAAAATATTCAGAAGCAGTTTCTGATGCTGACTCAGCCAAGTGGCTGATTGCAATGAATGAAGAAATTGAGTCTCTCCACAAGAATGGTACTTGGTCTCTTGTGAAGCCGCTATCAGAAAAAAAAATTGTTGGTTTCAAATGGGTCTTCAAGAAAAATGATAGCATTTCAGAGGTTCAAGATATAAGGCACGATTAGTTGCAAAGGGCTATGGTCACGTAAAAGGAGTTGATTTTAATTATATTTTCTCACCTGTTGTTAAGCATAGCTCTATTCGTGTCTTGCTTGCCTTAGTTGCCATGTATGATTTGGAATTAGAACAACTTGATGTTAAGACAGTTTTCTTACATGGAGAACTTGAGGAACAAATATACATGCATCAATCCGAAAGAATTGAAATTGAAGGAAAAGAAGATCATGTTTGCTTGTTGAAAAAATTCTTGTACGGATTAAAGCAGTCTCCAAGACAATGATACAAAAGGTTTGATTACTTTATGTTGGGTCATGGTTATTCGAGGAGCATGTATGATAGTTGCGTTTACTTCCGGAAGTTAAATGATGATCCATTTGTGTACTTATTACTTTATGTTGATGACATGCTCATTGTTGCTAAGGATTTAACAGAAATTCACAATTTGAAAAGTTAGCTGAAAAGTGAATTTGAGATAAAAGATTTGGGAGCAGCTAAGAAAATTCTTGGCATGGAGATCAAAAGAGATCGAAAAGCCAACAGGCTATTCCTGACCCAGAAGAAGTACTTGGAGAAAGTCTTGGAGAGGTTTGACATGAAAGATACTAAATCATTTAGTACCCCTCTTGCTGCTCATTTTAAGTTATCAGTTGCTCAGTCCCCGCAGTCAGAGGAAGAAGAGCGGTACATGGCACATGTTCCTTATTCCAGTGCAGTAGGCAGTATTATATGCAATGGTTTGTACACGTCCAGACATTTCACAAGCAGTGAGCGTGGTAATCTGGTATATGGCTTGCCCTGATAAAACACATTGGTAGACTGTGAAATGGATTCTCAGATACTTGCAAGGTACTTCAAACACATATTTGGAGTTTGGGAGAAATACTAACACTTTGGTTGGTTTTGTAGACTCAGATTATGCAGATGATCTTGACCAAAAAAAATCACTGACAGGCTATATATTTTGCAGTGGTGGTTGCGCTATTAGTTGAAAAGCTACATTACAACATGTAGTATCTTTATCTACTACCGAAGCAAAATATATGGCAGTAACCGGGGCAATCAAAGAAGCCTTATGGTTGAAAGGTCTATTTGCGGAACTCAGTTCACACCAAAGTGGTATTACCATTTTCTGTGATAGTCAAAGTGTCATTCACTTGACTAAAGATCAGATGTATCATAAGAGGACGAATCACATTTATATAAAGTATTATTTCATCCGAGAAACCATTGCTGAAGGAAAAATCGTTGTTCAGAAGATCAGCACTAGAGACAATCCTGCTAACATGTTCACAAAACCTCTTTCAGTGTCCAAGTTCAGGCAAAGCTGAACTTGATTGGCATTTATGAAGAATGATTTTGCTCATTGGGGTTGTTGCTGAGAAGGTGGAGCAAATTTACTACTATATATAAGCCAAAATTAGGCCAAGGTGGAGATTTGTAATATATCCATTAATTTGCCTTATTTTCAAGTGGGGGTCAAGGTTTTATGACATTTGCCATGACATAATATCCACTATAACAAAATTTGTGGAACAAGTTTTCATGACATTTGCCATG